CTCTTTAGTGAATGCAGCCTTTTCATCAGCTGCTGCCCTTTACTGCTTTAGAAATAAATCCAACAGTGAGAAACTGATGTGAAACATTTGAGACATTAACAATGTCTCCCCGCTGTAGATCACAGCAGATAGTCATTCATGACAACTTTTCAAGGCAGCCCGGAAATCCGGAGTGCTTTAACGGTGTAAAAAAGTGTTTTAAATGGTGCTAAAACAGACGTTTATGAAGTCTGGACACTTTAAATGTCAGTTTGTGACAGACATATAGTCTAAACATTCATTAATTTTCATTCAAACTTTATTTCAGACATGGGATATGTCCATAACAAGAATAAAATAAAAGTAAAAGCACATTCTAATTACAAACCATATAGGCAGTTGTTCCAATGTTTAAAAAGGACTGAGGAGTACCTCGTGTCACTGCAAGTTAAAGATGACAGCGCTCTAAGAACAGCGTTAGCTGGCAAACTCAGTCGGCAGATGAATTTATACACGAAGGGCCTCAGAAGCGCATGAAAAGTAGGGATGTTACTCACAACAAACATGTGACTTGCAGAGGTCCATCTAGGGAGCTTCATGAGGATTCTAAAAGCATCCTGATAAGCCACTTGAAGCTTCTTCACTACTACAGTACTATAGTTGCACCACAAGTGGGCTGTATAGAGAGGAGTACAAAAGGAACGAAAGAGGGACACTTTAACAGGATCTGAGCACATGCCAGAGTTACGTGCCAGAGTGTTAGCCTGCATGTACAACTTACCGCATTGCCTCTTAATATCCTCGTCATCACAGAGGTCACTTCTTCAAATGTGTCCCAAATATTTTACTTTTCTTACCACTTCGAGGACCTGATTTGTTAAGTTAAAAGATGGAAAATTAAGCTTCAGGTCCCCTTTAGTAGCAGCAATCATAACCACACTCTTTTTAGGGTTAAACGGACATAATTATTCTTATTTTAATTGAAGTACAACACGTGAATGAGGGCGTGAGGCAAAGCAGAGCAGAAAATAACTTTTGTAGCATCATTCACTTTTGGTCAGGGGACCCGTAAGCTGACCGGAAGGGGAGGAGACTTTGGCTTGCACAAATAGTCAACAAGTGCAGTATATACGGTCAAAGGAATGGACAGCAACGCTGCAGCTCAGTGCATTCGGCATAGTGTACTGTTTGATTGTGTTACATGCCATTAATAAAGATCCTTGTAGCAAAAATTGGATCAGAAGCAGTCTCGTCACTTTGGGAAGGGAAAGTGCTCAGGCCAGACAGTTCGGTTAAGCTGGGATGTCGTTTGCACACGGAAGAATTTGGTTTTCTAATTGCATCATCTGCATACCTTGGCTCCATTAGGAGTAGTCCAGTTTGGTTTGACTTCAACCGGACATGCAATAAAAAATAAATAAAAGGATTTTATTCTGAGCTGAGGCAAGGATTCGGCTTTCTGTTACTGCATGTAAACTCGCTGAATCTGACTAGCCGTTAGCTTGTCAATCTAACCAGTAATATACGTAGGTGTGGTTCACTTGTTTATTCACTACATTTGCAGTGTTCTCTAGCGTAAATCAATGCTTTGAGTCATTAAAAAAGCTATGATGCTCCTGTCCTGAGATGCAGAAGTTGGCTGGTGCAGAGGTGGGCTGACAACAGCAGGACTGCTCATTAATGTTAATGATATGCACACACCTAGCTTCTGATTGGCTAACAGAACACGTTAAGCCATGTTGCAAAGTCACCATCACCAAGACACACTCTTTGCTGAAAATAATAATAAAAAAAAATCTTCCTGTGGGTGAGTGCAAGATAGGCGAGGCCATGAATGCGAATTCACAGTGTGACATAGATATGTGAGGATTTTCAAACACTAGCATTTACCATCTATTTTCTATCAGAAGCTAACACAATAGCTAGGTGTTGGAAACTATTTTCATGTTCAGCCTGCATGAAAACCTCAGTTTGACTGATTATAATCAGAAATAATAATCACTCAATTCAATCAACCACACATTTAACCCTCTTACTGCTGTCATTGTTCAAGTCCGCCTGGTCATTTTTGTCCTTTTCTTTCAATAAATCTGTCAGAAAAGGTCCTATGTATGCAAAAAAAATTCAGGACAAGCTTAGCTTTCAGTATCTGCAAAGATTTTGCAGTTATTCTATTTAAATTACTCAAAACAGTATGCGATAACAGAAAAAAGCAAAAAACTGACTTGATTTTTCTTCAGAAGTTTATGAATAGAAAATGTAAATGCTCATGGGCAAAAATTCTGAAATTGCAGAAATCAAACTTAATGTGTATTACAACATTGTACTGACTATTTTACATGTACAGCTTTTAGTGTCTCAGTTTGAGGTGATATTGTCTGCCAATTTTCAAAGCAGCTCCTGTCCTGGTGGACCCTTTCTTGCACTCTTTGCACATCCAGGGAGTGTGCTTTTTTTGTAGAGCGCACCTTTTCCCCTTGACTTGCCCTCTGTGTTGGTCCAGGTCCAGGAGACAGGGATGTGAGCTTGAGCGGAGGTCACTAAGGTTTTCATCTACACCAAGCAGCTGTGCACACAGCTTCTCCTGAAATAGTTGACGTGTCATGGCCTCCTTCTGCTGCTGGTTTGTTTGTGGAGCTGGTGGTGAGAGGCACCCGATAGCCAGGAGTTCTTCTGGGGATACATCTGGGTACCCGGGTCTGACTCTGTTTACCAGGAGTCTAGAAGATGTGGAGCATCTCCAGCAGCATCCCGTCTCTTACACTGCCTATTGCTTGCAATGGTGGATGGTACTTCATCAGAAGAATCTCTAAAAGTATAAATATATCAGATTTTATAAAACTTATTCAAGCAGTACCTACTAGAAAATGAAAACTGTAAAAAATAATATACAGAAACAAAGCTAGAAATATATTTTAACTGTAGATAAACTTACTGCAGCTGTGATGGCAAATCTTCTTCATCCACACCTGAATCCTCAACCACAGATGGAAGTTTTGTTTTCCTAAGTAGCGTGAGTATTAGCAGAATTACTACACAACAGAAACTGTGGAACGTATATAGCTTGGAAAATATTTTGTGCTGAGATACTTACTGTGTTTGTGATGGAATAACAACGTAGGGCACATTTAGCTCCTCATCAACAAATCTCGAGGGACGTTTCCTCTTTCTAGAAGATTTTTTTCCATTATTTACAAAAAAATCTAACATATGAAAAAATAAAGACCCTTTGTGTAAAGGGACCTGGAAAAAAAAACAAACTGCGAGTGCTAAAACGGCGAACCAATGTCAAATATGACTGAATTTAGACAAATATTACTATATACAAACAGAAAGTATGATATTTACAGAAATATTTATTATTTACACCAATATAAGAGATAGAAATTGAAAATACGTGTACAAGAGCATTCCTCCGCTCTTCTATTGTAATGGCTGAGTGTTTATTTCCTGGTTCTCAGGCAGGGAATTGTGTAACATACCACTGGAAAGAGCAGAGTCTCAGCTTTCTTGAGTTGTGACGTTCACGAACGAACCGATTCTTTTGAACGACTCATAAACATTAACGATGGGAGCCGAGTCGCTGCTGTTGTGGAGCCGTTCTTTCTGTCTCTTTTTTTTCCTATGCGTGTTTCACACAGATGCACACAATTTAGCTCCTCTGTGGGACAGAACAGTTATGGGGGGATGGGCACACCCAGCAGTGATGTGACGTTCACGAACGAATCGTCTTCCGGTAACAAACCTTCCCGGAAGTCGGTAAAGCGCACCAGCTCAAACCCCACCCACTGCTGTGATGGACGTAGGAGGAACGCTACCAGGGGTGGACTGGCCTATCTGGCATTCTGGCACTGTCCCGGCGGGCCGCTTAGCCAAGTGGGCTGCTTGCCCAGCTTGGGCCGACACGACTCCACAGTTGGTGATCCACAGAACATTAGCTACATGGTAACCCGAAACTAACAGTGTTTTTCCAGGCATTTTTAGCAAGAAAAAGCAGAGTGATGACGTAGGAGTTGTTTTACCACGTTAGCATGTAGCTAATGTCCCACTGATCTCCGCCCATGGAGAATGAGCTGATCTGGAAGGCCAGGGCTCCCGGTCGCAGCGATCTGATTCTGCTTGTAATTTAACAATCCCAGTCCATATTAGAGCTCCCATTCGGCCTAGAGACGAGTCCACGGGCGGCAACACCCCCCACCCCCACCGCTCTCCCAATGGGGAGGGCCGACTGAGGGCCGACAAGTCGTAAAAATGCCAGGGCCGTATTTTGGTCCCAGTCCACCCCTGAACGCTACCCAACATCGTGCGCCCTCACAGACACCGAAGGAACGCGTTGCTCATAATACCCCCTCCCTCTCTTGGCTTCACTTCGTTCAAAGGAGCCAGTCTTTTGAACAACTCTGTGGTAGACTAATGAACGGCTCCCATGAATCAGCCATAAACCCCATCACTACAGCTTTCAGACACAACCAGAGAATTATGGTTAATCTCTATTTCTCTAAAGTGAGGCTGTTCAGGAGCTCACTTGTAGATGAAATATTAAATGATCATAACTTTATCTCACTTGAAAAGATCGGAACTGTCCCTTTAATGGAAATGTAATGATCATTTATTCATAACATATTTTCTGGCTGCCTGTGGCCTAGATATTATTGCTTTTGTAAATAATTTAGCGAGCAGAAACATTTGCAAGCTCAGGCGGGAATAAAACATTCAGAAGAAAGGTTGTTTTAGCTGGATTAGGCAGGATAAATCTGGACTTTTCTCCTGGGAGCAGGAGACTTGGAAAAGAGGATTAGCTCGGCTGGTCTTAAGGGGGGAAAATGTGTCATATTGTTACACTAATGCACCTTTCTGCCACTTCTTGATGATTTGCGCGTTTCTCCCACTGTTTGCCGCTAACTGAAAGACGAAAATAAAACACTGTTGCGGAGCTTTTTGCGCACCGGTCCTCCAGGTAAGGACGGGGTGGGAAGTAAGGGAGGGGAGGGTCCCGGAGCCTGACTTCCACTGGGGGGGACTCTACCTGTACCTGTGGGAAGGTGTGCCACTCGTCATCGTCCGACTCCAAATCAGAATCGAGTTTTCCTTCGTCCACCACTCCTGAGAGGTAGAAGTCGGTCAGAAGCGCCTGGAAGTGAACGAGCGACTGAAGCAAGACTCCGAGCATGGAGTCGATTGCGTCGTGGAGTGCGGAGAGGGTCTCCAAGTGGCTCCAAGGTGAGGAACATAACTACTGTCTTAAATGTCCTCTCGGGTACTTTAGCTGGAGGTGCTTCCGTCGAAAATAGAAGGCAAATCCTATTGGAAGTGAAAAGTGGAGGTGGAATGAGGAAGTGGCCTAATGCAGAGGAAGAAGTCGAGTCCAGTGTCAACAGCACCTCCGTTCGCCTCCGGTTTCAGTCCTCAGAACAGACTCATTTGTTTTTAACCAAAAATAAAACAAATAAAGGAAAGTGAGTTTAGTTGCAGGTAAATACTTCCCTGCACGGCTAGAGGCCTAACACTGTAAACCGTGGGCCTATACAAATGCACATCGCTCACAGTTGCGCAACAAATTTAGTTTAATAGTCTCAAATTGGAACTGCTTTATTTATATTCCCTTTTACAAGCTTTTTATGCAGTTTTATATTTATTAGGATGATATTAAAACTTGCATGCGAATAGTTTGTTCCACTTTCCATCATCTGCAGATCTCACCAGTAATAAAACCAGTAATAACATGTGATGCACCGATTCTGATCACCAGTCATACCGATTTGTGATTATGTAGCAGCTCAGACCTGCCCACACAGATTTATTCTGTTTCTGATTTAATGTAAAGAACTATCATAATAAATATAAATATTTCTGATTGACTTGAACATTCTGGTTCTGGAAGTAAAACCGTACACGTGGAAGGATATCTACTGCTAGAGGTGATCGGTACTGAAGGTGCAAAATGCCTGATAGTTGATTACTAAAGAAGTTAAATACTAAATAAACGCATAGTTTAGCTGATCTTGGTTAATATTGTCTGATTCTGATCACCGGCTGATGTATTTTGGTGTATCTACTACAATAATGACATTGTTAATAATGTCAGTAAAATACTTTTACATGCACTGCTTCAGGCACCAGTTCTATTTTTTATTCTTGAGTTATATTTGAAATACAATAGAATAGTTCTTTATTATCGTTAAAGATATTATGAAATTAAAGTTGCTCCCACCTATTCACCTGGCACCATACATAGCACATAAAATATGGTGAAACATGATAAAAACGCATTAAAAGGGTTGAGCACAGGAAGTAGCGTAGAAACCTTTTTTTTTTCACGCCCGTACACGTATGCGATGTGATGTGTCCGGTGTGTCTTTTCATGTCTCGCTGTGATCAGGTCTGGATGGCCCCATGAGTCAGTACCAGGTCTCGGAGTGGAACTTGTCAATCGAAGACTTGCTCATATTGACTTCCCAGGACCTGGAGAAGCTGGGGGTCCGTAAGATCGGACACCAGGAGCTCATACTGGAGGCTGTGGAGAAGCTCTGCTCTCTGGTTAGTCTGCGTGTGTTTGTTGACTGTGCATGTGTTCATCTCCAAGGCTTTCTGCTGTTTACGTTTTGGAAGTGATGCCAGAAGAGAGCATGCCCGTGGATATTAACTGTGCAGTCGTCCACACGTTCCTCTGGGATTTTGTGTGATACTGCTGTGGTGAGATCTATTTTCCTATCTCGTTGTAATGCTCTTAGATCCCGCTCTTGTTTGCACAGCAGGACCAGCAACTGTTGGACATCCTGTCAAAAAAATCCAGCCAGAATACACAGAATCTCTGCCTCAGTGAGCCTTCAGCAAGTCTGACTTGTTACCATTTTGTTCTCACATCGAAATCCTCCTGCTCAAGCATAGCACAGGAAAGGAGCAACCTCTATGTTCAGGTCGGCATTTAGTAACTACAACAAAAAAGTTCTAGAATAAAAACTTTTTTTCTCTTTTCCACACGTTCTTGCTGTGTAATCGAATTCCCCCCGACTTTCCAAACTTGTGAGTTGGTTTTATGGACTTTCATAACTGAGTTGGTGTTTGTGTTTCCAGAATAGCCTTTGTTTCGGTGTAATGAGCTGATTCTGCTCTGGTGACGTAAAAATCAGACTTAAACAGCTTAAACTGCTTGTTGTTAAATAACTAATACAGATTCATCAAAATGAAACATTTTAAAGCTGTTTTAGTGAGTCTACAGAACAAGCTAGGTTTTAAACACAAACATGGTCACCGAACACTCACCCCTTCCCTCGGGTATCTTCCCTGAGACGCTTCTGCCGAAACCAGAAACCCGCATCTCATTAGGAAACGAGATAGCGCTAAACACCAGCCACCGTTTTCTAGGTCCAAACATCTTTTTTTGTCTTTGACTTTAAATGGTGTTTTTCTTTTTGGGACTCTGGTAGTTTGTCCTAAAGTTGAAGTTGTAGCAGCCGGCTATTTCTTCTCCTGATATTATTGAGCGGACATCCTCACACCAGTGGTGTTCTGCTAAATATGCGAGTGCGTAATAAGTGGAGCCCCCAGGAAAGCATGGTGGTTTAGTGAGACCGACAACCGGATGGTCCAAAAGTCGCATTCGGTCAGAAACGTGTTATTGGCAGAGGTTTTTAGAAAAGGGTGGCTTTCAAGCAGATCACAGAATACCTCTCACAAAACTGTCTGCTTGACCCTTACCAGTCTGGGTTCAAAAAGGGCCACTCCACTGAAACTGCTTTTTTAGCAGTGACTGAATCCTTAAAAGAGGCTAGAGCGACTGCCAAATCCTCAGTGCTTATCCTGCTTGACTTATCGGCAGCATTTGACACCGTCAACCATGGCTTTATTTTGTCCACACTCTCTAGCATGGGCATCACAGAGAAAGCACACGTCTGATTTGAATCGTACCTCACAGGACGATCATTCAGTGTATCTTGGCTTGGACAATCCTCTACCGTGCACCATCTTGCCACAGGAGTCCCCCCAGGGCTCAGTACTAGGACCGCTTCTCCTACCACTGCTATGCAGACGACACCCAGGTCTATCTGTCATTTCCACCGGACGACCACACTGTCTCTGCACGATTATCAAACTGTCTCTCTGACATATAAAAATGGATGAAATCCCACCATCTCCAACTCAACCTCTCTAAAACTGAACTACTTGTCATCCCAGCAAAACCATCCATACAGCACAATATCTCAATCCAAAATGACTTCCTATCTCTGGCTCCTTCAGAGGCAGTTCGAAATCTGGGTGTTGTGATTGATGAACACCTGACCTTTAAAGATCATGTTACCTCTGTTGCTCGTTCATGCCGCTTTGCGCTGTATAACGTACGAAAGATCAGACCATACCTAACACAGTATGCCACCTAGCTCCTGGTGCAATCTACTGTCATCTCCCGCCTCGATTACTGCAATGCCCTTCTAACTGGTCTTCCAGTCTGTACTGTGAGACCTCTTCAAATGGTCCAGAACGCAGCGGTGCGTCTGGTCTTCAATCAGCCAAAAAGAGCACACGTCACCCTTCTGTTCATTGAGCTCCACTGGCTTCCACTAGCAGCACGCATCAAATTCAAATTGCTAACATGCATACAAAGTCCGAGATGGTACGGCTCCCATCTACCTGAATCCTCTTGCAAAGGCTTACGTCTCGGCCCGGCCGCTCCGTTCATCACAGGATCGTCGGCTAGCAGTGCCTACACCACGCTCAGGACAATCCAGGCTCTTCTCATGCATCGTTCCACAAATGTGGAATGACCTTCCAAGCACTACCAGAACTGCAGCTTCCTTCTCAATTTTCAAGAAACTCCTGAAGACCCTGCTCTTCAGAGAGCATCTTCTAAACTAGCACCCTCCCTGCACCCGTCCCCCCCTCTCTACTGTCCACTCCTTGTTCCCTACTCTCCATGACTGTTGTCAATGTTGTTGTTGTTATTGTTGTTGTTATCCTCAAGGGCAATATGCCGATTATCACTTGTAAGTCGCTTTGGACAAAAGTGTCTGCTAAATACATAAACATAAACAGAAATGCGTGAGAACCATTTTAATATTTATTTTTTAGCTTTTTGTTAAATCTCCACAATATATTTAGAGCAATAAAAATATGTAAAACCATTGTTAAGAGGCATGAATAAACGTTTGAAGCTAACATTGTTTTTCTAAATTTGCCATTGCAGCTTTAAGTCAAAGTCTGTGCAAATGTGAGTCTGGCAATCTGACTATGAAGCTCTAACGCTGTTGTCATTCATGCTCAGACTGTGCAGGCCAAACAAAATACTGAATCATCTACAACATGAAGATACCTTAAAAGATTCATAGCCACATGTTTGACAAGCTCATTCGCACGGATGGATGGTGTGTACCAACAAAGCCCGACCAGTCGAAAGCTCTTCACCCGATGAGTGCTCTGAGACAATGAAAGGCTCCATCTTCAGCGGTTTGAAGAGCCGCGAACCCATGGGGAGCAAACTGTGAGGATGAGCGAGGGAAAGAAGCAGAACGTCCTCTTCCTAAAAGGAAAAGTTCATCACAAGTCCAAACTTTTCTTTAAACGTGTCACAGGTGCGGTCGGCTGATGTATCGGGCTGATATTTACCATGATCGATATCAAACAAGGGGTTTGCTGCTATGATACTGCTAAGTCAAGTGCACTAAATGGTTTGATTTGTAGTTTACATGAAGATGAATGCACTTGTTTGAATTCTTCCTCTGCTTAATTAATGCTCTAAAACATTACTGTCAAGATAATGGCCATGAAAACCAGCCCCAAAATCAGCAGCACACGTTGGCATCAGCAATAGAAAGCCCATTTTGGTCAATCTGTGACCCAAGGGTATTCTAAGATCAGAGAATATAAAAGCTCAGTCTGCCCTCCTAATGATGCACACCTGGTAAACAGCAGGAGGAAGGCAGCCATGAGGCCTTCTGATATGGTGTCTGAAACATCTTAGGTGACTCCTTAGGAGGAGGTCCCCCTGGAAGTTCCTAATTCAGCCACCCTGCATAGATCATGACAGCTACATAGGATCTGGGTCTTTTTCTGTCCTTGTTGTGGTCCATGTGTCTAAGAGGCTCAAAGTACACACTCCATTTGAAAACAAAGAAGATGATGCAGGTTAGATGAAGGTTGGAACACAGACGGACCAGACAAACTCCCTGAATAATGCAGACGAAGCTTTGATCCATCGGTCCATCTCTTACCTCCGTACTACCATGGATTGTGAACATGATACTTGAACTCCTCCACTTGAGGCCCTCTCAACTCCAGCGGGAACATTGGACCTTTTCCATTTTGTTCTTTATTCACTTGAACTACGTTTGCACTTTCAACCCTTTTCTCCGGTTTGGTGCCTAAACCAAATTGGTTTATGTGGGAAATGGAGAGCCAGCTTCACGAGTTTGTGATGAAATCATGATCAGATTAATTTAAACCATTCATTTAGCATTTATTTGGATGTTTTTATATTATTGTGTTTTACGGTTTTAAACTAGTTAGTTTCTCCCTAACTTAAAAAAACACAACTGTGCCATGATGGTAAACAATTTAATGCTTTCATTGTGTAAAATTAGAGTTTGCAACTCTTGTTGGGCCCTTAACGCAAGGGGATTCTGCTTATGTGTGTGTTTTGGTGTGTGTGTAGCATTATGGCCTTGGCGGAGAGAGCCTGAAGGTTCTGACGGAGAAGCTGTGTGCTGTAGCTCAGACGCTGCAGAAGGGCATCGAGAGCCACTGGCGGCGTAACAGCTATGATGGACGGAGCACAAAGAAGATGTCCGCCGGCATCCTGAAGGTTGTGGTTGAACTCATCGCATCTGCCAAAGGCCTCTTCACTTTGCTCAAAAGGTTTGTAACAACGAGCTTCACTTTATTATGACACAGATGTGTTTTATAAGTTTGTGTCTTCTCTGCTTTTTTAGTTTTCTGCTTTTTTATTTAAGAGAAGTCTCTAATGAGTCTAAACTAATTCTTAACAAAACGTCTGGCTGCAGGTATCAGTTATTTCAGCCCTGTGGGTTTGCTGAAACCAAGAACATATTCATTTACTGCAAAGAGCTGGGAGACATTGTGCACAAGGTGAGTGTGCTTGTTTCAATTAAGTGCATAAAATGTAGTCAGGTGACTTTGATTTATCTGATCTGTAGTTAGAAAAACTGACCTCCAGCTGCAAAACTCACATTTTGCATCCTTTTGTGCTGCCATGTGGCTCTCCACTGTCTCTATAAACACTCCAAACATGGAAAACAAAATATCTATTCATTTCCTGTCAGTGGAATTATGTGCTTAAAGCCCAAACCCCACTGCGTTTTTCGGCTTTCATAACGCTGATGTCACACTGTGAAGACTGCAGAAAAGTGGCACACTGCACGGTCCAAGATTTCAGCGAGCCAAACTGCACGATGTCTCACTCTAGCAGGACACACTAATGTCACAGGCACACCCCCTGACAAGCATATGTCGCTAAAAGCCGACAGCTAACCAAAACAGCAATGCTTTCTGCATGTAGCTTCCACTGTTGCCAATGTTGCTAATTCAACTCTTGCATTGTACTCTGGTCACAAGTTGTTCACGTCATTTCCTGGGTGTATTTTCATTGGTCGATTGCAGATGGAAGCTGTAGGTTTTCAAGTCGTAAGGGTGATCAATAGGCTGTCGCAGTAGCGATCACACAGGATGACCACAGACTTGCAAATTACTCTCACGTTTGCCGTTTTTTGTCGCAATTCTGTTCACGGCAAGAGATTTGTTGCAGAGTGGTCTGGGTTTGAAACAAGTAAAAAAAGTCCCATTTTGAGATGTCACAAATGGGAAAATTAGACTAGAACTTTCTCCAAGACCCTCCCAGATATGAGAGCTGCTCAGGCCGATAGCAGCATGAGCGGGGGATGGGTTTGCGTGGCTAGCTCCAGCTTCTTTTTTAAGTAACAGCACCCTGAAACAGCTCATTCTGGAAGGTACTGAATAGACAAGAATGACAATTTTGAGCAAAGAACTTCATAAAAGTGTTTTGGATTGACCATGGAACTATTAAAGCTCAACAAAAAAGGATTAACACACCCTCTTTAAAAACTAATCTGCAGCAAGAACTAGGTAGCATTTACAAGCACATTTTGTGCACAAACATGAGATGTGGAAGTGCACGCAAGTAAACCATGTTTCTAGTAAAATGCAATCAAATTCATAAAGAGGAACTACCACATGTCATGTGAATTTCTCTTCAAGCCTGCTGTTTCAAGAGAACAAGAAAAACAGAAGAACTAGTGAGCTCCCTCTTTCTCAGTTTAGCTTGGGATATGCTTTTTAAAATGTCTTTAAAGTTCTTGGCATATTTAGAGGCAGTTCTGCTTTAGAGGGAGCTTCAGTTGAAAAGTGATTCTGTGAATTTGCGTGCTAGCAATTGTGGCATTACAAAAATGTTTAGGAGGAAGAGAAATATTCATAATGGGGTAGTCAGTGAGAAGTGTTCGAAGGTCCTGTAGCAGAGAAGACAGGCCTGGATATGTTGAACCGCCTGGAGGAGGGCAGAGAGAGGGAGAGAGAGAGGGAGGGAGGAGACTGCTCTGCCAATGTTAAATGACGTTTGGCTCCTGGGGGAGGGAACGCACAGACGAGGACAACAGGCAATAAAAAGCGAGTTGGCTCTAAAACACGAGACTGAAAAACACACCAGAGCAGAAAAGGGCAGAGCCTAAAGAGACAGGAAGCACAATCAGAGGATCTCTTACTGTAAATAGCTAGCTCTGGATGCCCGCCAACAATGACAGGTACCTCCTCTCTGATTGGATCATTCTCAACAAGGTGATTCTGCTTAAGTCCCCAAGAGGACAGCTTTTATAAATAAAAAAAAAGGCTTCTGGTAAGGAAAACATGAAGTGGAATCATCATTTCCTAAAGCCTCCAGGACTCACGCAGCAGAGGTAAGTAGGAATAAACCTCTCTCTGTTGGTTTATATCAGCAGTGACACGGTTCTGATGAATCTGGAGGAATGCTGGGAGTGAGCAGGGAGGCGAGTTATTTAGCGTGTTGATTCTGATAAGATGTTTTTGCTCCTACGCTGTGAATCACAGTCGGCCCTGTTGGACTCTTGTTTTCATTCATTACCGGCCTACCGATGCATTAAGCAAAAAGTGTTGAGTCAGCGGTTAACACGTTCAAATCTACACCTGTTTTGTTTTCTCACGTTGGAGTTGATCTTTGATTTTTGTAGATGTGCCATTGTTCGCTCGGTTCCTGTTCTAAACTCTACACAGACCTGCAGCAGGTTATTTAGAAGCTCGTATACGTTCAGTGATGTCACGTGACTTATGTGACATGCTCAGTAGGTGGGACGTTTTCGACATGATGTTGACCTGAAACTGAGAAATATTCAGACGAATAGTTTCAGGCCTCTTCACTGCTGCAGGTCAGGTGGTAAAAAGCATGGCAAGTGTTAGGGTAAGATCTGTAAGGCTGAGTCACGTCTCACACACACACACACACACACACACACACACACACACACACACACACACACACACACACACACACACACACACACACACACACACACACACACACACACACACACACACACACACACACACACACACACCACACACACACACACACACACGCACGCACACACACACACAGACAAAGCAGGATGATCACGGCTGCTTAAACCTAATTAAATCTGCTGTCATTCCCCGTGTTTGGAGGCTGCGGCTTAATCGTGGCGTCTCACATCCGTCCAACACACATTTAACTGTGTGAGCATGTGTGTGTGTGTTTATTTTCCTCGCACCCTGAGGATGATCTGGGTCAGTAGTCAGCTGGTGTTGATGGAACTCTGCCGTTGCAGAGTTGGGAGTTTCATATTAGCAGGGTCTCAGTTTGCTTTGAGCAGTGAAACGGCAGCCAAAGTCCACGAGCGCGAGGGCAGAGAGGGAAAAGGTGAACCTGGATTTGAGGTTTGTGAGTTTAACGGTGATTCAAATAGAAGAAAACAAAGATGTTTAAAGGATTAAGTTATTTAAAGTATGTAAAACTGACAGCCTCTTTGATTTTTAGATATGCATATTTGGTGTAATGTGTATGAAGCACATGGGCTGTCAGTGACACTTTGAAAATGTAAAAATGTTCACTTAATCTTAACAACAGAAGGTTAAATTAATCATTTAGAGGGTTGAAAACAGACAGTATAGATTTATTGATTGGATCAAACAAAGAGCAGTGAATGCTAATGTGATTTATGTGTTTTTTTAAATAGCAAATCTAAGAAATATCTATAGGAAAATTCCTGGTTTGCAGTCATTTTTTTCCTAGAAAATGTTTTCCTGGAGAACAGCTCATGGTTACAGCCAAGCTAGCAACTCTTATAGCTCAGCAACCTCTATAACAACACAGCAAGTGACATCACACACCAGCAGGAGGGAAACAGAGCGTTTAGCTCACATTTATTTAAGCTGTAGTGATTCATTGTTAGTTTTTAAGTAAGCAAAAATGCTGATTATAGATGTAAGAAAACATTGATACTTTGTGTTCTGATACTGAATGGATACCTAAAAGCAGTGGATTGATTTTTTGAATTCACATGAATGAATGAATGAATGAATGAATGAATGAATGAACAGATTATTGAACAAAGGAAACAATAGTGATCATTGTGATAATATAAAACGAGAGAAAAAACGTTATTCTGTGGACCAAGTAGGGCTCGCTGACACAGTAGCTCTGAGGATGGCTACAGGAAGTAGCTGAAACGTTAGCAAACAAGACAATGAACTACTTTTCTTTTCTGTGTTTAAAAAGAACCAAGAAATGCAGGGCTGGGTGATATCTCGATAATATTAAAATATTGCAATAATTTCAAACAAATAACATGACTTTGTAACATTTATATCGATATAAATATAGAATCAGTAAATTTCTAGAGTTAGCAGATGCAGCTATTGCTAGCTGCTAGCTTGCTCCGTCTCTAAGCGGTAATTATTTATATTATTTGCTTGAAATAAATACATTTGATCAAATGGATTCTCTTGTGTCTGCTCGATATGAATCAACGTTAAACTTTGCATTTGGCTTTCTGGTTTTTAATTAAAATGTCAAGTTATGTATCAGGATTGTCAAGACATACGTTTTGGTTTGCATCGACCAGTCCTAGGACCAAGTTTAAACCCGATATGTTCTGTGTGGTGCAATTCAAACTTCGACTGCTAGGTGGCGGCAGCTTTCGTTCTGATGGAGCAACGAGGTCTCGCGATAACAATAGATGCATCTTAGAAACGTCTGGCCTGAGTTTTCCAAATAAATTCATTCGTAAGAATTGCAAATATCATCTGGCTTTTGGTATCGCAATACAGGTGAAACTCGAAAAATAAAAATCTTGTGCTAAAGTTCTTTTATTTCCTTAATTCAACTTAAATGGTGAAACTAATAAATGAGATAGACTCATTACATGCAAAGCCAGATATTTTAAGCCTTTATTTGTTATAATTGTGAGGAATATGGTTTACAGCTTATGAAAACCCCACATTCACAATCTCAGACAATTAGAATATTGTGAAAAGGTTTAATATTCTACCATACCGTACAATACCATACCATACCATACCATACCATACCATACCATACCATACCATACCTTCTTCTTCGTCTTCGTCTTCGTCTTCGTCTTCGTCTTCCTCCGCTTATCCGGGTCCGGGTCGCGGGGGCAGCATCCCAATTAGGGAGCTCCAGGCCGTCCTCTCCCCGGCCTTGTCCACCAGCTCCTCCGGCAGGACCCCAAGGCGTTCCCGGACCAGATTGGAGATGTAACCTCTCCAACGTGTCCTGGGTCGACCCGGGGGCCTTCTGCTGGCAGGACATGCCCGAAACACCTCCCCGGGGAGGCGTCCAGGAGGCATCCTGACCAGATGCCCAAACCACCTCAACTGGCTCCTTTCGATCCGGAGGAGCAGCGGTTCTACTCCGAGTCCCTCCCGAATGTCCGAGCTCCTCACCCTATCTCTAAGGCTGAGCCCGGCCACCCTACGGAGGAAACTCATTTTAGCCGCTTGTATCCGCGATCTCGTTCTTTCGGTCATTACCCAAAGCT